GGGGGGGGGGGGGAGCACAAGAACTTGCTTTAATAATATTCTACTGCTTAGATTGTCAATGGAAACAATGTGAGTAATTTATGACATGATTATCCCATTATAACTCTTTCTACGTTTCTTATTAATTGGTCTCCATATTCTATGCAAGTATATCTACGTTAGTATGCTTAATTGTTTATCATCCAACAACTCCTATGATATCATTCCTCATTAAAAAAGGGCAATTCCTAAAACGAAGTAATTGGCAAGAATTTCTTCTAGAAAATAAAGGCTTAAACTAATGCCATGTTGTGACAACCAAAATAAAACACAATGTGAAGGGGAGGACACCTAGGATTTGAAGAATTTAAAGCAATTTTTATACAAAAAAAGTTTGGTTTTTACCCTATTTATACAATACAATTTTCTTTTCGAACCAAACCATGTAACACCACCACTTTTCAGGTTTTCGATACAGGTAAAACAAATTCAAATCACGATGCAACATAAAAATTCATAAATATTTCAAAAAAATGATTTTTGAGATGTCTTGCATGGGAAAGAAATCCAACCCTTCACTCGCATAAACACAGTTTAGCAGCTTCTACTAGCCTAATCGTTTCTAACACATAACAGCTACGAATACCATAGAGGGAAGAACATATCTTCAACAAAAGAACTCTGCTCTTTGGTACAACTTAACCTGTAAATGGAGAAACTAAATAAGGAGCATGTTACAAATAAAAACCTCTCATACTCGGCTAGCATAAGGTGCAACTTCAGGAAGTACATGAGCAGTTCTGACACAGTCACAGAGAATACACGATCTTGATATAAGTTCTTGTTTCTTCACTCAGGGGGCATCAAGAATTTTTGTGCTATAAAACTCTTGAATTTACTTCGTTCCAGAGAAATGAATGTGGGATAACTTGCACTACTACGTGCTCTACTCTCCGAATTCTTATGCTTTGTGATTTTCAAGAACTAATTGTCATCAATCAAAGGGAAGACTTGGAAGAAATACAGCTAACACAGTTCTACTTAGACATGCAAAACAGGTTCTTCAGCAAGCGGCCTATGCTATTGTGCAGCCTTCTCTCTGTCAAACAAAAGGGACTCTACCAGAACGACAAAGTTGAAATTGAAGAAATTATGTTGGACGCTCCACTTCAAGTTGATCAACTGTTGGAACTATTCTCATCACCAGGCTTAATTCCACTGCAGCAAAAGAAATGTGGTAATTTGACTCGTCCGCAGACCCTGCAAGTTTATTTGCAAGCAGAAGAACGTCAAGAGTATTAGCATGGAATAGTGTAGAGACCTAGATGAAGACCAACAAAGAAAAGCGGAACTGAGAGCACAACAAAAATCGTTGCATTAGACAAGAAAATGAAACATGACACTAAGCAATTGTCTTCCTTATTGAGGACCAAGATAAACATCATGGTGGCAATAAAAACTCACACCCGAATCACAAAATCATGCATGTCTTTCAAATATCATCATTTAAAATTTCAATTTCACTAGTGAGCTATTCTTGAGAATTATTGATATACTTGATTCGAATATGTTATTCGTGTGATATGCTTTAAATTGTTTGTAGGACTACTTGAGCTTTCTTGTGCATGTTAGAGATCATGTCTAGGCTTTTGATGCTTATTTCGGAATGATGTGCTATTCTTGAGAATGTTGATATACTTGAATTAGCAGTAGTCATACTTTATATCATGAACACACATCCGCATCTTTAGTTACTATGTCCTTGTGCATGTATGTGTAAACAATCATAATCTTATTGTTTAACAATCATTCAAGCAAGATGTTACCTTGCATCAAATCATACTTAAGACCCATCGACTAGGAAAACATTAAGAAGCAAAAGGCTTTAATCTGTCTACTGAGCTAAGATCAGACAACGAGGTAAAATCTCAAAGACTTAGTCCATTCAACAGCCAATGCAAGCTCAATAATGGGATATGTGATGAAAGAAAAACACCCTTTTTCCTTCTTGACGACCTTTTTTCAATTTATTGGTGACCCAAGTACACTTTTACTTTTTCATTGTCCCCTTTTTTTAGGGGCTTTCCGCCTATCAAAACTACCCTTGGGACATAGATCGACTTTTATGCTAGTTTTTGTTCCAGCATGAAAGTTCCATTATAGGGAAAGATGATGCACTATACTTTTTGTTTTGTCGAGCCTTGCATTGGTCTCTGATTATTTACAGAAGCACTAGGAAAGACATACAAATGTCGATATATCCAACCTTCTGTTATTTACAAGCTAAATAGAAAAGTCAGGATTTTAGCTTACTAGCTAAACATTTCATGCTTGAATACGTTACAATTGAGATTAATTTATGGGAAGAAGCATCAACTATATGTTATTCATTTTCTTGGCATAAAGCTCTTACTTGCAACGCATAATCACTGGTACTGGTTTTAGAGCCTTTGGTCCATTTCTTATGCCTCTCTTGTGAGGGGAAACCTGCATTATCAAGCATACCCTATCAGCATAACAAACTGTGATGAAATATGAACTATGTAACACGAATATGCATACACAGTCTCTCGGTGCAACACACTACCTCACAGCTTGAACATGCATTTTGGCAAGTGTAACAAATATGGAAATTTAAACTAGTGAGCCAAGCTGGCATGCAAAACTATGCAAAAAAAGCACTAAGAAAGGGGTCGAGGAGGTAGCCTAATTGACAAGGCTCCAATCTTTCAGATAAAATCTGATCTATGAGTCTATGACTTCCTCCCCGGGAAAAGTGAAGAAGGGTGCTTGTAAGGATTGTATACATTCCTTTTTGTGTAGATGGTTGGATATATTTTTCTGGAAGCTTAATGATGCACACTGTATATTTTTGCCACTATCTTAGTGCAACATCAGTGAAATCATTTATAATTTAAAAGGAATAAAAAATGCAGATATTTCATGTGGAATATGCACAAGCAAGCAGAAAGTCACTCCACATCAATAACCTATCAAAGTGTAAGGTTAATCTTGCTGCCAATTATTAACAAAAAGCCGGTAAAGATATATATGTGGGGGCCTCTACAAAGCCAAAAATTTACCAGAATTCAGTTTACATCAAAGCCCAAAGGGATAGCTAAGATCAGAGTATTTCTAAGGCACTTAGCTAAACTGTTACTAATTGTAAATAACCAGCCAAAATGTAATCCCATAATTTCAGTACTATCTGGACATCTTAATATAAGTCTCAACTCCAAGAACTCAACTGTGTGGCCTATTGGTAAATTAAGTGGGTTGAGAACCATGACGTCTCATGTTGAAATCACAGTGGAGGCAAAAGCACTAGGTGATTTTTTCTCGGCTGTCCAAACCTTGGTGAACAGAATTACTCCAGAGGTTTCACGTACCCATGGAATTAGTCAAGGTGCGCGCAAGCTTGCTTGGACACCACAATTATTAAAAAAAGGGTCTCAACTCCGCATACATGTATTTATGGGAATTATATTAGCTTCCCCATCCGCCACCCCCATTTTGATCGTTTCTAGCTTCCATAATATAAAAAATAATTAGCAGGAGGTGTGGCTTGTCCCGACCAACTTCATTTTATGCTTTTAAGCTTAGTTTTATTGCGTACTTTCACATTTGGAACAGTCTGGAAATTTCCTGGTCTGATCCAAGCTTCAAGGTTTGCAGGAGAATAAAGACCAAAAGAAAACAAAAACTAAAGAGGGTCATTTTGTATTCTAAGTCACCACGTTGCCGGAGCTATTTGCTCCCTCCACCCCATTTTCATTTGACCCAGCACTCACCAATACCCTGACAAAGCTCACACTTTATCTTAATCTCTTCTACTTTGCAAGGGAATACATAAAATTAAGCCACTTCCCAAATTTTGCACCCACATAGTTAAGGGCAGTCTTGCAGCAAATGTATTTACAGGGCTCAGATATTCTCAGTGCTTCAATTAGGATGCATTTTTCCCCAACAGTACTTATGTTCTCCGATTGTTCTATTTCCCCAGTAAAGATCATGATGGTAAATGTTTTCCCTAAAGACATCTTTCAAAACATCCTGAAACAATCATCTACCAAGTCTATTACCTCATATACAAAAATAGAAATACGCAAAAGCTCTGCACACATAAAAGGTTTTGCCTCACATATGATCACAAGAGACTTTGTACCATTACTGATTTCATCTCACTGCCTAAATTGAATAAGACGATAACATCTCGGGAACGGAGACAAAAAGAGTACACAGGTAAAACTTAATGCAAGAATAAGTTGTGCACAGTGGCAGAGCCAGGAATTTATATAAGGGGATTAAAAGAAATACTAGAATGTCATAGGTGAGAATTGAACTTGTTACCAAAAGCAATTTTTGAGCCCCTTTACCGCTACACTAAAATTTTTCCTTGTATCAAGGGGATTCAGCAGTTTATATATAACCAAAAACATTCAATTATACCCTACTTGCACAGTATAGTTTTTCGACTAAGGGGATTCAATTGAACCCTCCTCCCTTCTACTAGCTCCGGCCCTAAAAAGCAACATTGTTCTACTCAACATTATCCTTCATAGCCGAATACATGGAAATCCAAAGCATAACTCAAGACTCAACAGACAAGTAACATATTAATCATCAGGTGAACTCAACATTTCCAAATCAATATTATGAGAATCTATATCCGCAAAAGAAAACATACCCCAAATTAAACAGTAAGGACGCCTAAAAGAACACAAAGCAATATGGCTATCCTAAAACCCTAAACCCTGAACCGTAAAAGGATAGAAATATCCATCAGGTAATAACTATATTTATAACCTTAACCATCACTTTAAACAACGTTCATTTGCAGCCTAATTACAAAAAGTCATACATTTGCAGCCTAATTACAAAGGAACCAAAAAAAAAAAAAAAAAA